TAATACATTTCATCATATTCACAACTCCAAATTCACTAAAGTGTGATTCGTTCCAAAATCTCTCCGCCCCAAGTCCTCACCTAATTTTCATCCCCACACAGGCAATTGCCTAAAAGACACATCCCTTGAACCCAAAATTCAGCATGTTCAAATCCCGTCCCAACATGGTCTTCTTCCAAGATAATAGTACCAACACGCACCAACTCATCTAAGCTAGCAGTGTGGGGCCAGCCATGACCCTCCTTTTGTCTCTCAGACTCACACACATCTACTCCACCATCTAAATATCCCATTAGTACATTGCCTCGCCCTCCACTCATTTCCTTCTTCCCTGCTCTATTATAATAGCCCCTAACTAGTCACCCAGTCTCTCGGCCCTTTCCCCTTCCTGGGCATCCCGCTATCTTCTTGCCAGAGTCATTATTCCAAAATGCACATCTGTCCACATCGCTAAATTCCCACTTAAAAATCCATCAGTGGGCTTTCCCCATGGCAGAATGAAATCCAAGTTCTTGCAAATCTTGCAAGTTCTCTTATCAGTTGGTCTCTGACAACCTGTCCTGGCTCAATTTCTACCCTTTTGCTCAGTGTTTCTCAATCTTTTGTTCATTATCAGTCCCCCAAGGAGATCTTTCAGTTTTTTTTTTCCAAATTCTGCCCCATGAAAATTTAATATCACAGGTATACTGTATTTCTGTTATGCATTATGTGCTTTCTACATTAAAAAGATTTTTTTATCCCCCCAACCAAGAACCAATTTTCACCTCCCCAGAGGTGATGTTGCCCCAACAGAGAATGTCTGCTCTAGCTGAAATATTTGCCCTTTGCAAAACTTTCATACTCTCACACCTCCCTGCTTCTCCTCAGAAATGCCTTCCTCTCCCAGATATTTGTCTGATCAATTCTTGCCCATTCTTTAAAACTCAATTCAAATATCAAAGCTGCCTGAAGGGCCCTTGGAACTCCCCCAGGCTGACCTAGCTACCTTTATCTGTGTTCCCACAGCATCATGGATTATGTATTTCTGTACTCGGTTTGTTGTTCTCCCCTGCCAGATGACTAACTCCTGGAGGTCAAGGATGTGATCTCCTTCTTCTCTGTTGTGGGTAAGCTGTATCCCTGCCAAAATTCATACGTTGAAGCCCTGACCCCTAGACCTCAGAAAGTGTCTATATTTGGAGACCTGGCCTTTAAAGAGGTGATTAAGTTAAAATGAGGCTGTTAGAGTGAACCCAAATCCAGTCTGACTGGTGTCCTCATAAGGAGGAAATTTGCACAGAAAAAACAGGATGTGCACATGCAGAGAAAAGGCTGTGTGATGATACAGGGAGAAGGCGGCCTTCTGCAAGCCAAGGAGAGAGGCCTCAGGAGAAACCAGCCCTGCCGACACCTTGGTCTTGGATTTCCAGCCTCCAGAACCGTGAGACAGTCAATTTCTGTTGTGGTATTTTGTTATGGCAGCCCTAGCAGACTCTCTATATTTCAAACACCAAACCCAGGGCCTGGTAGTGAATAAATACATGCTGTTGGTGGGGTGAATGAATGACAATGAAAACTTGTTCTCAATAAATCCCTGCCTGCTGAGGTCGTGTGCAATCACTACAAAGTGATCCACAGTTGTAAGCTTCTGTTCTTAGCTCGTAGCCCACCCAGCACGTCTTCTCAGAGAGCCCGGTTTATCCACCCTCACGCCCGAAGGGTGATTACCCAGCATACGACAAATGGGTAATGGAACTACGAAAGATTATACCTTTGTCTTCAAAGGGTGAATCTCCCAGAAACCCAACCACACATATTGTAAGACACGAAGGAAATAAAAATTACACATTAGAAAGAATTCCCCTGTAAGACCCCAGGTAAACAAAGGCTAATGAAAGACCATTTGAGAGAAAGAGAACTGGAGCGAAGGTTTGAGAGAAACATTGCTGACCTCGTGGAAGTTTTCTGCTAGTGCTCTAAAAAAAAAATTATGTTTTGAAAAAGCCCTTTCGTACAATGCCGCATGCGCACAGGTAGTCAAGGAGGTACCGGCTCACGTTCAAACCCAGCCAGTCATAGAGGATCTTGATACGGTTTTTAAAATGTTCTCCCCAAAACCAATTTCTGAAACCTCTCCAGGCTTGAGAAATCTCATTAATAGCTAAAAAGGAAGATTAAAAACGGATCCAGCCCCCATGTGAGAGGCTGATGTCATCTGTCTCCACAAAGAAAAGGCCACACTTTCCTTTGTGGGACTCCAGGGTGACATCACCTCCTGATCACAGGCCACTCAGCCCTTCCCCTGCTGGCTCGCAGCTGAAGGGTTCGCTCCATTTGCAAATGTCAGTCTTCCGCTCACAAAGCCCCTTGACCTTGTTTGCATGCTGGATTCCGTCACCAAGGGAAAGAAGGCCTCTGGGAGCAGGACCAGGGGAGCGGACGGGTGCGTGCAGCTGGCTGGGAGGCCGCTATTCACACAGCTTGCGGAAAGTTCTATATGCCCTTCAGCAACCCAGATGGAGGCCCCAAGGCCGAATTCAGCCCCTGGACAATGCTGTCAATGCTGAATACTGTGAACCGATTAGCCAGGCAGAGCAACTGTGGCCATTTCTTTATTTCCAGGGTGGGACCCTCTTTGAGGGTGGGCACAAAGGCCCTGCAGTGTGGCTCCCCTCACGTCTGTCTTGCAGGGCCACCTTCAAAATGGGCCTACCGATAAAGCCCATTTGTAGAGCCATTTTCTCAAAGCAAATAGAAGATTTGTGCGATCCACAAAGAAGCACATTTTGTAAAAGGGTTTATTTATTAACTGGGGAAATGAATGAGGTATGTAAGGAGTCTTCCTCGGAAGCAGTGTTCTGGGAAGCGATGTCACTGCAGGTTTTGAACTCTCTGTGCAGAGATTTTTTGAGCTTTTATTGCAGTTTGGAAAAGAGTGGGAGGGGAACGGGCCCGAAGGTGATTTGACTCTGAGGAAAGGGCTAGGAGTTTGGAGCCTCCTGCTCTGGCCAGGGCAGGGACAGCAGCC